TGTCGGTACATGCATTTCCTAACCAGTTTTGTTTTTTTTTTTCTCCTAAAAAATATATAGGGTTTCGTAACAATTCTGCACTGAAGAAGTTTTCCATGCTTTCATTAGTGAATTTAATCCATTCAGAAATAACAGCTGATTACACAATTATTAAAGAGGGTTTGGTCATCAGCACAGGCTAGTTGCCAGGATTCAGGGAGGTACTAAACCATCCATAAACCGAGAAATTAATACAACTTTCTCCTGCCTGTCTTTGAATGATTTCAATAAAAATCAGTCAGAGCCATATCCAGCACTTAATTTGGCCGAGCTCTATAAGCTGAGTATTTTTCTGGTGCAGCTTCCTGTTGGCATTTGCTGTGGTTTCTGCTGGTAGCCTGTATGCTTTGGAAAGCAGGGAGCTGGCAGGCTGTAAACAAGTGGTAGGATGGATGTATTTGTACCTACTCTGTGAGAGTGAGTATAACACCAGCAAACCGTAGGGCTACATTTGGATGCTTTTGCTGACTGTCAAAAATGAGCAGAAGAAAATACAAATAGATAGAAACCTGCTACTGGTGGGTATTAAAAGGGGAAATAATGAGCTGGGGCAGATTACGTGCAGGGGTGCTTAAGGCATGGGGTTTGCAAACGGTTCTGGATGGGGACAAGGCATGGGGGATCCCTGATGAAGCGTGCTGGGTCACAGACAACATTAGTGCAGGGGAAAATGGTGTTATCATTGAGGAAGAATTGAAATGGAGAAATAAAAATATGACTATGTGAATTTCTGCATCAGGCTTCGGGAGAGAGTGTTTTTTTTTTTTTTTTTTTTCCTGATATTGGAATTTACTGGTTGGATTGGATGAAGCTAGAGAAGGTCTGGGTGTATCAGCAGATGAATACAAGTCATCACATATAAGCAACATGATCCTGCCAGAAAGGGAAAAAAAACAAAAAACACAACAATGTGTTCTGGTTTGGAGAGCGTTCAAGATGCAGGTAGGGAGGTTTCGGTTCCCGTGTAGCGCTCCCCTCCGCGGTGCCGTTTCGTGTGTTGGCCTGGTTCTCGTCAGCGTCCTTCGAGGCAGGGGAGCTCGGTGAGGAGCGCTACGCCGCGTTGTTGGCCGGCGTGAAGGCTTCCGCCGGAGCGGGGGTCCTTAGCCCCGTGCTTTGTTTTATCCTGAGCCAGGCGGCCTTTCCGCCACCAGGGATTCTCTCGGGCTGTTTTGCTAAGACATTCTCTTTTCCTTCTCCTTAAGCCTTTGGTTTGGCGGTTAACCAAGTTGAAAACTTGGTCACAGTAACTGACTGCTAGGTCAAAATATGCAATTTTTAAACATGTCTAAAACTCTCTCTCAAGAGGAGGGGTACAAGTGGCATCCTTCTTCTATGAATTCTGAATATGAATTCTATGATTCATTCTATGATTCTATGGTCCGTCTTTGAGTAGGCTTTGGTTTTAATAGAGGCCTTTTCCAGCATCACACCTAAAATAAACTGATGTGTTCTAGCTGGCGTTGGTCCATCTTCATATCAGGAGGATATTGGGCCCATTAAATATTATTGCAAGAAGACAGGCTTTCTAAATGCCAAAATACATGCAGTGAGAGGCAGATTTGGTATCAAATGTTCTAATCCTCAGCAGTTGTTTTCTTAGTGATAACTAACTTTGTGTGGCCTGAGAAATACGCCTTTCTCTTGCAGTGCAGGTATGAGCTCTGTGGTCAGGCAGGAGCAAACTCCAGGGTTACTTTGCATCTGTATCCCCAGATAGTCAGTTAGGTGAAGTCAGCAAAAGGATTCTGCTCTTGAATTATAAAGATCCAGTAGTCCAGCCTTCCCTCTATGTTGTTAAAACACACTACTCATGTTGAAAGAGTTTCGCAAGCCAGGTGCCCTGTTTGTCTGTGTTAATGAAGTTATCCATGAGCTCTTAGCTCTCTTTTGGTCATCTATCTGAGCTGCTTTGGGCAGTGAGGGCTAGATTGCCCTTGGTGTATGCATGGGGGGGCAAGGCAAGAGTATGAATAGATCTTGCTCCCAGGTATGTTTCTCTTCTCACGCTGAGGTTGGGTATACTCAGAGCTCCCATGCTCAGCAGTGCCCTTCTCCCAAGACTTATCCCCTCTACCTGATGCTTGGCTCTTATAGTTGCTCTTGCCCACTGCGGACCACATGGTGCGCTGCACGAATGCCTCAAAATGGGGAGGATGTGCAGTGGAATGGAGAAAAACATGAGCGCTCCTGAAATGTTTTCCTCCTCAGTTAAATCTTTAATTTGGCAAACACCAGCATTCCCAGGTGTGGTTCTCCACTGTATTAATATGGTTATTACCAGCTTTCTCTACAACTGAGTCAACTGAAACCACACATATTACACTTTCAAAACAAACATATCAAGAAGTAATAGATGTATATGCATCTCTGCTCATACCCATGATTCTATGTCCTGAGGTCTATATTTGCCAAAGATTATGCTACAGAATATACCATGTGCCTCTTATAATGGCATTGTACTTGTCTGTTTTAATGTTTCATAATTATCAGGAGCTTCTCAAAGATAAAGAAATGAAGAGACAGACTGTGAGTCAGGCCAAGGTTCATGTTTCTCACACCCTGGTCTGCAGTTATTATACAGTAATACTACAACTATTTGGCTAATTGGCTGTTTATCTGATTAACTCTCCCCAAAATAGAAAATGCTGTAAAATATTTCAGAAGGAAAATATTTTCCAGCGAAAGTGTCTCCTCTGTCTAGTTGGAGTTGGAAACCTTCATCCCCTTTGGCTCTTTGGCTGCATGTTGTAAGCAAACTAGAAATTCTGCTATGGAAACCCATGCAATAAGCTGGGTTCTCAACTAGGCTATATTGGCATGAAGAAGGACTGTGTACTCAGTGTCATCTAAACTCTGTGAGAAGTGGCATCCAAAGTTTGTGGAAGCCCTAAGCCCCTCGTGTCCCTTTCCTGTGTGTTAGTTGACAGCACCAGCCCTTCATTTTGCAGGAGTATGGGGAAAATTAAACACTTTCCATGTGCCAAAATGTCGTAGAGCTGAACACCATAGGAAATCCCACGAAGAAACAACTTCTGCCCTCTCCACAACAGTGTGCTGTAAATAAAGCCTGAGGCCAGTCAGTGAGCAGTGAAGGAAAACTGAAATATTTGTTCATTAGCTGAGCTTCTCCATCCTCATCACAGAGTAGGGCAAGGGGTCCATGGAAAAGTTTGCTGTGTGTCATATGGAAATGTGCAGATGGTTGGACCCATGTGGTGCAGGCAGACTTGCTTCTGTTATTTCCTGGCATCTCACAGTTTGACTTTGCAGCCTTGATAATCTTGTAATAGCATTAATCATTAAATTGGATGGTTAATGTTGATGAAGCCAGAAGGTCCCTCAAGGCAGCTCGCTGCACCTACTAAGCTGTTGTAAGTCACAGCAAAAAAGTGCAGTGCAGCATTATCTATCACTTCCTTAACAGGCTCTTGTATTAATAATATATATCTATATACACATATAGATATATTAACTGGCATCTGATTGCCTATTGTCAGGACTGAAGAGACAGGCAGCCACTGCCATGCAAAACAAGGAAGAACTGCATTTATTTTGGTATCAGGATAAGGATTCTTTCTCTTATCGTGTTCTTTGACATCCCTGAAGTGATGCAGCCTCAAGGAGAGGGGGCGGCCTCTTGGGTCCGTCTGGCCACTGTCACCGCCAGACAACTATGTAAATAGAAACCCTTCGTGAATGAAGAGAGGCTGGGAGTTGATGAAAGAGAGTTCATGGGTTGCTGCAGTTAGACGGCGAGGGACGTTTGAACAACACAGTACCAAGAATGTTCCCAGAGGAAGCAGCTGTGAAATTTTTCTTTTGGTTACTCAGCTGCTCGGAGTTTGTGTTCACTTGATGGCTTGTGTAAAACTGGAGAAACCTCCCAGACTGTGGAGAGGAAAAGGCAAAGGAAGGGGATGCTTTGCCCATGAAGCACTTGTTCTGCTGCCCAACTTATGTTGGAGATGAATCTGACACAGTATGTAAGGGTGGCTGTGTCATCCTGTGGAGGATGGCTGGACTCCACGGACTACAGCTGGAGCTTTAATGCCTAGATCACATAGTGATCATGCACTGTGTAGGCATCTAAATGTGCATGTCAGACTATGGAGCTGAGTCTCACTCTTAACCGTTTGGTGCGATAAGCCCACCCACAGTGACTGTGCACAAAACTCTTTGGTATCTGGAGGTGAGAACATGCTAACTGGGGGCCAGGCACTTATTTTATGGAACAATAAAACACTTTCCATGCAGCAGCAGCAGCATTTCTGTTGTTTTAGTGGAGGCAGCAGCCAAGCGGGATAAGGTGGCTCTAACCTTTTTCCTTTCCATTACTGGCAGTGTTCGTAGTCTCTTGTGGTTTATCATGATGAAAGGTTTATCCCTCCATGATGCTGTTGTGTCACTAAATGGGCTTGGTATTCCCATGGCCCATCCTGTGGGCCAAAAAAGCATTCGAGGCAGTGAATCACACCAGGACCAGGTGACCATTTTCTCTTGCAACTGTGCACGGCCTGGTTCAATGACCGTCGCCCGAAACTATTCTCTTTTTATGATACTGGACCACTGAAATTTACCTGGGCGACCCTATTATTTGGACTATTTGAATGCTGGCTTTCAATAGATGGAGGGGACAGCTGGTGGCCTGAGTTATCAAAGAGCTTTTGGCTCATCCCCTGACTCTAATATACTTATCCGTGCAGTATTTCACCATGGTGTGTCTTTCAGAGCAATGTTCTGATAGTTGTCTGCATCCAATTACTAATCTTACTGAGGTGGAGTGCGAAAGTACGACATTGAGCTTTTCCTTTTCTGATGTCTCTTAGTTTTCTGGGAGTAACAGTGATGCAGTGGGAAATTTTTATCTTTTGAGATATTTCATTATAAGGATAATTCTTAGTAATCTTTCTTTTCTACTGCCCCAGATCCATCATCTCGTTGTCTGTTTTATTTTCTTATAGGAGGAGCTGGGCATTGCCTGTGAGTTGCTGGAGTCAGACTTCCTTAAGTGCAGCGTGGGATTTCCTTTCATGAGATCAAAATCTAGGGTAATGTCATGTTTTCACTTCCAGAGTGATGGTGTTCCCTTCTCTGGCTCCCGGGAGTGGTTGGGAAAGCAACTGCTTTGTTAAATGTTTGTGACTGATATTGTTTGTAGCTTCCAACCAAGATATTCAAGCCTTTCACAGTTATGGGAAGATATTTGTACTCTTGCCCACCAGAGTCAATGACAGCACCCTATCAGCTGCAATAGTGCAATTGGAAGATGATGCATGAGTTGTAGCTGCCAAAAACTTGCATTTTCTCTTCAGAAAATTAGAAGACTCTCTGATTTGTTGTCTTCTCTGTTTTCGTCTTTGTCTCCTCTCACATAAAAGTGTGTCTGAATTCATGCAAATGAGAATGCAAACGTTATAATAGCTTTTTGTATTATGTTTCCTGGTAGCTTTCTAAAGAGGATTTTGTTCAGGTAGTTGAAGATAAGCTCATAATATTTCAAAATGAAGCTGGGCTCTTTCTGCCACAGAACAGATCTGTATAAATCACTGATCTATCATCCAAAAATTGAGAAGAGGAGAAATATTTTCATCATAATCTGAACAAAATGAATTTGAAACTTTGCAGAACATATGAATTTTAAAATTATTCTTTTCCATTGACGCATGAAATGTTTTAAGTACTTTTGTCTGTAACATGCTCTTCTAATTTTTTAGATGGTAAGAATAAATACATTAGAAAATATTTTCTGAAATGTAAGGCTCTTAGTGTTTTACTTCACAATGGAGTAGTTAGATTATCTTCATTTTTTTCAACTAACTACTGAAATTGGCATGAATTTGCAAACTGTTTCACTCAGCCGCAAACTGTTCAGGAGTCCCAGATAAGAAAAATTCGTGGAATATTTATATACCACTATAATTGTCATCAAAGTAGATTTTCTTTTCAAAGTTGGCATCTGATTTTATCCATTTGATGAGTGGCATGAAGGCTGCTATAGTTTGCGTAAGTGTTTGCAAGTCTCTGTGCGTGTTTGTGACATGACTTTTATCCCCCCTCAAGGATTTTTGCCAAGAAGTAATCTACACATTGGTGCTGAGGTAGTGGGTCCACTTATACCAGAGGGCTGCTCCACTGGCAGATGATGTGCTTAAAAAATACCTTTGAACAGCAATTCTAATGAAGGCCTGTTCACAGCAAAGGAGCAGTCTGACTCTTTAGTACGGAAAACAGAGCTGCAATTTCTGTGATTTAAAAGCTCTTTGGTAGTAGAGGAGGTACTCCTTAAACATATCAAACTATGCTACTATTGTACAGTCAGGCCAGTAAAGTATAATGGATATGTGAAGTTTCAGAATAAATATATTTTGAAGTAATAAATATTATCACTAAATGTTCCTTTTTCTTTGTGCAGTATGAGTTCAGTGTGATCTTTGACACAAGTCACTTGTCTGGGCAGGAAGAGACGCTTACTTTCCTCGTCACTGCTCAAAGGTAAGGGAACCTCTGCGTGTCTTGATGACTTGAAGGCTCCTTGTTTCATGAAGGGTATATTGTGCTTGTTTGACAAGCGTGAGATGGAAGTCCTGGACACGTATGTGTTTGTATAAAAGATGAGGCTAAATGATTGGAGCTAAATGCCTGCATTTTGGTGACACAGAGCAGCCGTGTGACCCAGCCTTCTGCAGAAAGGGGTAGGATGGTGCTTGTCCGCTAGGCAGTTGCGATTCTGAAGGAGCATTTTGTGCTCTCTCGGTCGGAAGGTCCTTGTGTTTCTGCGTCCATCCCTTTGGGCCCTGTATCAAGCTCAGCTCAGCTGCATTTGACAATCAGCACCAGGCAGACCCATTTGTTCCAGCTTTTGAACAAAGTAAGTGTGCTTGGATGCAAACCAAAAAAAAAAAAAAAAGGCAAATGCATTCATCAGATGGTGAGGGATCTTCAGTGACAGCTTCCAAAGTTGCATACCCATTTTTCTCCCTGGGGATCTTTAACAGAGTGCATGGAGCTACTTCCCAAAGGGTGGCACAAACTCTGTGTAGTAGGATGCTGCCAGTCTTAACCAGTGGTGGTACGATGTGTGCACAAGGATTTGATCTTGAGCAAAATAAAAGGTGTAACGTAATCCCTGTGCTTCCTAAGATGATTTGCCATGTAGAAGCAAACTCCTTGGGTGATTGCTGCCAGACCCTATCTGTATTTGCTTGGGGATTGCAAGTAGCATGGTTTAATAACCCTGCACTAAATCACTGCTCCAATGTGTGGGGCGCGTGACTGGGCGTTGGGTGTGTGACCACTTTCCCTTCTATGCAAGTGGGCCAGTTTCATACCCACCTGTGTCCAAATAAAGATGCCCAGTCTGAATTCTCCTCCCCAGTTAGAAGTCCCTGCAGAACAGCTGGGGATGACCAGTTGCCGTGCGTGAGTGTAATCTTTCCCCTCCAGTAACAGGGTGGGTGAGGAACAAGGTTCTGCAGCATGTGGGGTGGGTACGAAATACTGAAAATGAGACCTTGCAGCAGAAGGGCAAGACTGGGTCTTACATGCTAGAGAAGTTTTATTCTCCGTGAAGTTTATCTTGTGTTCAGGTGACCTGTAATGCTTCTAGGTCAGCGAGCTACATCAAGAGCTGCTGTACAAATGCCAGCACTCGCAAAGATAAGTCAGGAGCACTTTAAGTTGGCCCAGCTGGTGATTTCCAGACCATCCCTTTCATCTGCTTGCCCTGCACAGCACAAGGCTTTCCTCAGGAGCCTCCGAGTGCTGAGCCCTCTCTGTTGGAAGGGTTGGTCTGTGTCTTTGAGTGGGGTGAGGAAGCAGCTAGTGCTAGAGTGCAGAAGCCCAGAAGGGTTCAGATGAAGTTTCTTGTTTCAAAAGGAAAGTTTCTTATTTTCAAATGTCTTGAGTGTGGAGAACTTCTGGATTATACCACGCTCTCATGGAAAAGTAAAAATTGCCCTTCAAGTGTCCACTTAACCTTTCACTTGTAACTACAAATTTGGCAGCAGCATCTGTAACAAGAGACTGATTCTATACTAGGTGAAAGTGATCAGGGGATGAAACATTGCATTTATTATTTTTTTTTTAAAAAAAGGGTACAATCAGCCTTTTCTAAGTTAGTGAAGTGAAAAACCTGTCTAGATCAACCATCCAGGTGTATTCTCTTTTTCTGTTCCTTTTAAAACAGATAAGCATGCACAGAGCAGACCTCCTGTGAGATTCTGCTTACTCGTTTTACTTGCTCCCATGGTAACTTGATATTTGCATTGGATGAAAAGTATCTCCCTTTTGGACTCTCTTTTGAGCTTTTATTAAATGTTTTTGCCTAACTTGATTAAAAGTTAGTGGGTTTTTCTTTCTGGGCCATAGCATTGCTTATTAGCAGACATAACCAGTGGTCATTGCAGAACGCTGAGCTGTAAGGATGTAGCCAGCAGGTTCTGTTTTCATAATCTGATTGACAACTGTCATCATCTGCGAGGTATCATGCAAGATGTTTTGCAGAATGACATACTGTCTGCTGTAGCCTCTGTAGGTCTCTCCTGAAATAAATAGGTTCACATCTTTAGCTTTGCCAGGTGGGTAGATTTGTGAGCAAATGTTATGAAATGCAAAGTCGAAGTGATCCTTGATTCATTTTAAAGAAATTGGAACTGTATATTATAAATATTTCTCAAGATTGTTTTTCTGCACTGTCACACACCAAACAGGCTTACTGTTGGAATTAAAATGTTTCCAAGTTTGCCTCCTGGACATGCATTTCAGGAATCCTTTGCAGAGTTAGTACTGAAGAATTTACCTCTGAAATGCAAGCAAGAGATGATCACTAGTTTTTCTCTTTCCTTCTGCACTTTGACCATTCAATATGTCATTTCAATGTTTGAAAATTAAAAGAAGAATGGGGAAAAAAAAAAGAAAATTGACTAAATACTTGTATTTGGGAAATGGAATGATTGAGTGTTTTGGGTCAGTTCAGTGCGAGGGTCTAAAGCGCAAAGCTGCTCATAGTGCTGCTGCTTTACTGTGAAGCTGCAAAGAAAGCACCATTTTGTTTACTGAAGCAAGAGCTTCCGTGCTGCTCTCAAACTGAAGGAAAATCTGTCTGGGAAAAGAACAGATCCTCTCATTTGAGTCCAGATGTCCTTGTTTCTGCCCAGAGTGCAACGCTTGCTGTAGCTTTGCGCTTCCGTTTGACATCCCACATCGCCTTGCTCGAAGATAGGTTTTCACTGCGTGCCTGATCACTTCACAGCCACAGAAAAGAGCCAAGCAGATCAAGCGTTCTGTGTGTGCCCTCTCCAAAGTGTGATAAACACATGTAACTTGTTATCTTTTAAGAGGCTTCTTAAGGAGTGACAACATCACTCAGAGAGCCTCAGAGGAAGAGGCAGAAAGATGGTAGCTGGGTAACTGTGTGATTTATTGCAAAGGCTGTGGGTTTACAGCATGTTTCTCTTTCTTTCTTGATGCAGCGGCAACCTAGAACGCACTGAGTCTCTGCATGATAATACTCTCACCCTGTCAGTACCCCTGATGCACGAGGTAGACTCATCTATCAATGGGTAAGTACTGGTCATTGGATGAAAACAACAAAAATAATAATAATCCTAACAATAACATGTGAGTCTGTGGAAAATTACATTCTTCTCTCTGTTTATATGCAGCTAGAATGTTGGTTTTTCCTTGTTTCTCAGACCCTGGAAATATGGACAACCTCATTCGTTATCTGGGAATTTTATTTATCATTCCTTTCATTCCACACTGTACCTCTTTCTTGCTCCATTTTAAGTAGCACTAGTTTAGTTAGCATGAAATTAGTAAGAGATATTTTAGTAATTTTGTTTGAATTCATGTGAATTGTATGGATATGATGGACCTTAAAGTAAAATGAGAGAAAGTAAATCACATCTTGTTCCTTGCGACATGCCTGAAGGATGTGGTTGAGAATTGCCAGGCCAAAGGTCAGGGTCAGATGTTCTGGGATTTTAAGGAGCCTGGGGAGGTCTAGCTGTTTGTCTTTCTGTTTAATTTCACAATTAGAAGTTGCCTCTGTTCCCTTTCCCACTGCCTCTGTTCCCTAGTCTGCCTGGCATCTGATAACAACAGAGAGACCCCACTTGTTCCTTTGACTGAAATACTTGTATAACATCTAGCACTGTCATCTGCTGGAGCTGGAGGTGGGCAAGTTCCTGGTTTTGTCCTCAGGGGTTTTGCCTTCCCCTTTCAGCATGACAGATTTAGGCGCAGGATCAAAACTTGGAGGTGCAGCCTCAACAGCTGGGCCATCCTCAAGCACAGGCAGCGTTGGGTTGGAACTGGGTCATCTGGTCACGAGAGGTGAATTAGCATCCACACAGACTGAGAAGCTTGACACTTACCTTTAAACTGGGGAAGCAAAGGCTCATCAGCAAAGCCCCCAAGAGGTCCGTGTCTGTTTTAACCACCATTTATTGCAAGCCCAAGAGAGTATGTACTGCCTAAATGACCAAAGCAGCGTGCTACTTATGTGGGGAAGAAGTCACCTGCACTGACACGTGATTTGGCTGAAAGGCTGAATAAACTCAGGCTAGGTTTGATCACATAAGGCTGAATTTGCCTCTCATGGCATAGGAGCAAAATGCCTTAGTTACTGCCACAGTAGTCAGAGTGGGTGGAAGATAGGCTGAATCTGCTCAGAGAAATGAAGAGCACCGTTAGACCTCACAAGACAGCTAACAGGAGCACAGAGCTCCTCCATGATGAGAATACAGTCCCAACATTGTATTTCAAATGTTTTTGCATGTTTTTATAGTTGCAGATTGGACAGCAATTAAAATCACTCTATCCCTTGCTTCTGGATGCCGTGAGAGCTTTACAGATACAAAAGCTTTGGTCTGTGTCTTTAGATCTTTGTCACCTGCAGAATATCGCATGCCAAAAGCCTGATACACTTTGGGCTTCTTACTTTCCCTTCAGAATGTACTTTTTCAAAGAGTGGACCCTCAGAGTTTGTACACTGCATTGAACTGACTCTGTGGATTGTTTTCTGCTTTAACATAACTTAAGCTTAGCTCACGTAGTGCAAGAATGTTCCCAGACTTGGAAACATTAGTAGTATTTTTTCAGGCAGTGTTCTTTTAAGGATTATTTTTATTAGTTATTCTATATCTGAGTCTACGAGAGAGAACCTCAGTCCTGGTCATAAGTAGCCCGAAAAGATCTGTATTCTCCTTGAGAGGAGCCTTCTGGTACAACACTGTAGAGGGGAACAGCAAATCTGTGTCCTGCAGATGCTGCCATAGGAGGCAGGCCAGGAGGAAGGAAGACATGTACCAAGGCAGGCTCAAAATCCAGGCTTAAAAACCCGTGATCCAGATGGCAGCCTGGAAAGAAAGCATGGGTTTGGGTATGCCCTCACTATGGTCTGCCTGAAATGTCATGAGGACCCTTTGCAGCCAGTGGAACAGCCCTGCGATTAGGAGAAGGCACAAGGATGATGAAAACATTTTTGGTCCTCTTCCCTGGGATTTTCAAGTTCTCTGTTGTGCCTCCAAGTCTTCCCTGATTAAACCACAGTGTGTTTGGTGCTGTAATAAGAGCAGTTGAAGAGCCTTGGCCACCATAGCTCAAAGCGAGTCATACCCTCCTCTGGGCTTTCCTTTCTCCATGTGTTAATAGTAAAGGTTGTGAAGGGCAGATCATTAATGAAGTGCTTGTTCATGAAATGCTCTGTGAAACAGTAGTTAAAATTGAAATGTTATTTACAGGATTATGTAACTGAAATAATTCCTATCAGTAATTGATTTCTCAGATGAATTTAGTAGCATAGTGATCTCCTGCGTGACACAAGCTAGAGGACTTGCACAAATCACTCATGGCAGAGAGCCATGGACAGGAGGTTTTGTGATCAGGCGGAAGAAGGAGGTGTAATCAGAGAAGTCTACTTTGCTGGCAGCATGTTAAGCCTGGTCAGTTGAGATGCTAGTGCTGTTAAGAGGAAATGAAATCACAAATACTGACTTAAAATATTAAAGTATTAAATGGTTCTACAGAATACTCTGTGGTTGAAATGTGAGAGGTGTGATGCATTTAGCCACAGATATATTTAGTTTTGGTGACAAGCGCGACTTACTAAATCAGTGTCTTGATCTTTCAGAGAGGTCTTCCCTACTTCCTTCTTCTATGGGGACTCTGTAGAAACTTCCAACTTTGTTCACTTGGAAAACCACGAATGTCTTTTCCAGTCTCTCAACTTCACACTGCAGGTAAAGTTGGTCCCTTCTTGGTTGCTTTCTGTTTTTTGTACTGTTTTTATTTTGGGGGTGGCATGGGCTCTGGTGCATGTTCCCATGTCACGGTACAGTATGCTCTGCAAGGCGTGCTCGATGGGATGCCATAGGTACGGTGGGCAGTGGTGGCATATTGCCTTGTCTGAATACATTATTGCAAGAGTTACAAGTAAGACATCTCAGTTCCTTAGGGGCTCCCTAAGGAATTAGCTGCTCCCACTTGTTTCCTTTTTACTTCTCATCACATGGGAGGGAAGAGCATTCAAGTGCCACATCTTAGATGCAGTGCCAGGTGAAAAGCAGAGTAACATATTTTTTTATGGCAGCAGCACCCAGGAAAAGGGAAGTGAGGGTTCATCCATGGGAAGGGTTCATTAAATGTCCCTTGGTGTGTGTTATGTATAGATTATGCTCTCCATGGCAGTTAAATGGGTTGCAGAGAGAGCCAAATGTATGGAATACGTGTTTTAACAAGCTCTTGTGGTGGAACCAAAAGGAGCTTGTTTCACAGCTCGCCCCATATATGCTACAAGCACTTCAAATCCTTTTTGACCACTAGATGGAACCAGGGAATGATAAATCATGGAAAGGTGGGGGAATCATTTATTGTAGAAAAGTCTTTCCTTTTTTTTTCCCCTTTCTTTCTCCTAGGCATGAGTGCCACTCAGCACATAATGAATAACATGTGTCCACTCCTTGGGCCAGGCAATTAAGCCCCCACTGTCATGCAGTGCCCTTAGCTATTTACTGAGAAGGAGCGAAAGCAGGATTTCAGGCCATTAACCTTTGTGAAGGAGGCTGTTAATTCTGGCGATTCTCATTTCATTCTTGGGGCTTTATAGGTCTTTTTTTTTTTTTTTTTCCCATAACCTGTTATTGATTAGAAATAGATAAAGACCAGATGTACTGATGCTTTGACTAGATGATTATTTTCAGTAAAGCAAAGTGATAACGGTTGAGGAAGAGAGAATATACAGACAGAGCCACCCCTTGGCCTCCTCCATCCTTCTGTGTCTCATGAAAATGTTTGTAGGTTGTGATATCAGAAAAAAATGTATTTTTTTACATATGGAAATAGAAAATAGCACTGTAACAAGTCACAGATCTGTTCTCTGGTAAAGCGGTAAACCTCATAACTATCTGTATCAGAGAGAAAGTGGGGAGTTTCAAAATGGGCAGAGCATGGTTTGTATCACTGTTTGCCTAATTGTTTTTAATGATTTGCCTGCTATTTATTAAACTTCTCCAGATGAAGAAAAATAGTAGTTTCTTAACCCAAAACAAAAAGAGATGGTTTACAAAAAAAACACAGAGCTTCATTGGAATTTTTATATGTGAAAATCTATACTATGTCAGATGTTAATAGAGATCTGTGCATCAATTTTGTTGGAAACTAAGACATACAATCAAAATGTCTCTCCTGCGTTAACTCTTACATCTGATCGTGATGAGACAGTCCAGTCTTTTTTTTAAGTTAACTTGATGCGTTATGTTTGCATTTCATGCAGCATTTATCATGCTCCATTGTAGTGGGATTTCTCCCCCTGCCTGGAGCCTCAGGGTTTCTGTAAGGATTTGGCATCATGCACCGATCCTCTTTATCAGTCAGGCATTTCTTCAAATTTAAACAGTGTCAGAAGAATGAAAACCTGTTGTTGTTTTTGTTGTGTACACATATATGTACTTTACATGATTGGCAACTGATTGCTGCACCTTTAGAGAACACAGGAGTAGTGCAGATAAATATTCTAAAATGCAGAATACTTTTACTGTATGCAGTTATGTTTGTGGCATTAGAAATAACCAGGAAATCTATTTTCATTAAAAATGTTCCATGGTTTTTATTTTTTGAACAAAACCCCAGAACTTTTGGAGTTTTCACTGGATCCTTTTCAGAGGTGGAAATATTTTGATTTATTGTGGAAGGTTGTGGGGAAGTTAGTGAAGGCCAATTTTTCTACCATTTTTTTTTTTTAATTTAAATGAAAACCCCTGATTTTGAAGCGAAACTGTTCACATGGATTTCCTGGCAATTCAGTCAGAAAACGCACAGTCCAATAGTCACAGTTGTCATTATCTTGACTTCTGCCCCATAAGAAAATCATTTGCAGAATATAATGCCATGGTTACCAGATGGAAAGGGGAATGTTGATAGATACAGCAATATTTTCTGCAGCCTTCTGGATTTTGTTACTAAAGCATGCAAAGTAGCTTTAGCAATGTCTCTGTATGTAGAGCAGAAGTAGCATGTTATTTATTACTGATAACTAGTAATTATGCTGCAAAATGGCTCTCACTTGATACATGAGATGTGCTTGAAGACCGTCAGATAAGTGAAACCTTTGGCCGTGTCCTGATGCTTACAGGAGAAGTCTTTGGGGAGGCTGAAAAACTGCTGGTGGTGTTTTTTTTTTGTTTGTTTTGTTTTGTTTTTTTTTGCAAATTTACCAACCTTCCCAGGTCTGGCTACAGTAGCTTCCCATTTATGAATAGTCATAGATAGGCATTTATTTATATCTATGTTCACCCTTGAAGGTTTACAATGCTGGACCAAGCACTCTCCCTGGAGCTTATCTTGACATTTCATTTCCAAACCGCCTGTCTGCCACCGGAGCTGAAATATTTCACGTTCAGCAGATGATGGTGAGTACTTTTCAGTGCGTGCTGAGCAAAGAGAGGCACTGAGGAATATTGAAGAATGAATCAAAGAGTATTGAAGAGAACTGGGTGAATCAGCTGTCTTTTTCAGATAATAGAAGGTTCTTTGTACCTGTGGACAGATAAGTAGCTGTGTCAAATGGTTTAAAAAATGCAAATTAGAGCCCTGCCAGCTGTTAATTACTGTCCCTTACCAAGGAGCAATAGCCCATGTGCATGCCTGCTGTGCCACAGTGCAGCGTAAGTCTGGGTTAGTCTAATCCTGAAGGAAATGTGGATGATTCCCAGAATCACACCTCCAAAGAGGATTCAGACCACCCTGATTAAGTAGCGGATATAGTATGAGAAGAACATGTTACCCAGTTGACTCACATTCCCTCCTTTTTGGATATAGTCATTTGCAAAATGCTAGTTAGATCTGAATGCAATATCAATGTATATTATTCTATAATTATAGTCTGTATTACATTTTGCTCTTCTCAACTGTTTTAACAAAGGTAAGTAGCCCACACATTTTTTTTTTCTTTCAACATAACATTTTTCAAAAGATGGTGTTATGTCAACTACAAAGAAAGCCAAAATATGTTGTGGTAAAGGAGACACGTTCTTAGATTTCATCTCTAATTTATTATTTTCAAAGCTTCTGTTTAACCACTGAAATATCCTCATTTATACTGTGATGGCCAATAGAAGGAAAACCTCACTACTGAAGTAAATTTATCCCTGAAATTTGAAGTGCTCTGTTTTGTGTGAGAAGGAACCAGCTCCTTCCATCCGCTCAGGAGCTACTTGGGAAGAAGTATGACACTTCCTTTGTGGCTACTTTTCTAGCAATTTGGCTGAAGAGTATTACCACCCTCAGGATGGAGGTTGTCAGTCAATCCGTGCAAATACAGATCCAGTAAGACCTTCCTAAGCAGGTGTCTGGTCCTGTGCCATGCCAAGCTGCTGGCAGATAAAAGAACTAGCTATATATGGCTTGGTGGGGGGTGCTAAAGAGAGAATTGCCAAGAAATGGATTTGGGATAACTAGCATTGTATGGGGCACCAGTACTGCATAGACAGAGTCAGTTCTTCAAATGGACTGAGTTAAATCTCCAGCCTGTGTTTTATTTTCCATGGCAATGCATTTAGTTTTTTTCAGTACAGTCTTCTATGCAGCAGATAACCTTCTCTTTGACATCTCTAAATGCAGGGGTGATGAGATCCTTTCAGGCACTGCTTGATTCTGTGCATTGACTATTCCAGAAGTCTTGGCAAAAATGTTATGGAAAAGCCACCTGTTTTGCATGCTTGAATCACCTGAGATGTATGCTACCCATAAAGTGCAAAAGTGCTGATTTCCAGGCAGTTTGTCATTCTTCCACTCCCAAGACCCTGATTTCTCCTGCCAAGGATGGACTGGACCCTATGGTTCTGAATAGCTCATAGAAAAACAGCAAAAAGCTTAAACCTTGGGCTTACCTTGTAAAGGGGCTGTATGTTTTCCATTGCCATTACTTTGGGTGGCTTACCTAGCGGAGGTCCAGCTGGCTACTGTGGCTTTGAGCACCATGCTGGAGACACTTGTAGGATCAGGCTCTACAACTCTTCTGATCAACTAGTTATGTTTCCTCAAGTGCTGCTTGACATATTTCTTCTCCTTCACAGCTTGTAGAAATTTCAGACTCCCGTTGCAAAGCCTATTTGCATTGAAGGCCACATGTGAAGAGTGGCAGCAGGCAGGCATGGTGTCTGCAGGACACACTGGTGTACCCTGCATCATGTTGACTGCTGTTTGGGAGTCTAAGGCCAGTAGGATTTTCATACAGGTCTCTCCGAGCACCTCTGACTCAGTAATAACTTTGAGCCAAGCAAACCCTCCCTGGGGTAGTGGTGTAATCCCTGCTTTGCAGATAGTGAATTGAAACATTTAGAGCCTAAATGACTTGCCTGAGATCACATGGGAAATTTGCGTCAGAGCCAGGCACTGAACCTGTGTCTCTGCAGGCTTAGTATTTGAACAGGAAAAGCATCCTGCGCTCTTTCATCCTGCCTCCCTCCCACAGAGTTCTTATTGACTGAAAAGGGAACTAAAATCATGGAACTTTTCAAGACATCTTTTCTCAAACCGAATAGACTTAAAAAAAAAAAATCCCAGAAGCAACAGATTGGAATAAACTTTGGAAAATGGGTTAGAACAGCTGTTTTTCCAAAGGGTTTTTGTAAGTGTATTCATTAAAGATTTTTGAGCTTTTGCTTATTCTGAACTTTCCCAGAGTCTAGCCTGTAGCACAGAGCGATAGTGTCCCTTCAGACAATGATGGTTTTTCCTGAAATTACACCTTTCTCTAGCTTTTCTAGGTGTCAGTATTGCCAGACTTTTCAGAATAGCTCTCAGAAGATTCATGGTACAGAGGTTTAGTAATTGACACTTACTTGCAACTCATGCTGCTGACATGGTGTTTGGGAGTTGAGGCCATCATCCTTTCCTATAAAAAGCCCCAAAATGCTTTTGTTACTTCTCTGATGTACTATAGTACAGCAGTGACATTTATGAGTAAAAACATGCGGAAAAACCGCAAGAGTGTGTGTCTCAAATATACTCATAGCACACCAAATTGTGCCAGGGGCTAATTCCTTCATATTGTGTTGAATTTTATAGCCTTCAGTCACAAAAAATAATAAGAGAGTCACATATGGCCCCCTGGAACTGTCTGTATCTCTAGGAGGTGTTAATGGGAATTATCTTGCTGCTTTTGGAGGAAATGACAGCTCTCATGCATCCGCTGTTCCTGTTGCTCCAAGCATTTGGCTATATTGCAAAAACTGCTTTAAGATTTTGTTCTGGAGCAATTCAGGTCACAAAGATGTTTGGGTGTTTGGGAGTCTGTTTTAGAGATACTCAGGCTCTCTTTGGGGGGCTCCAGGAGTGTACGCAGCATTTCCCCCAATGAGTCCCATAATAAATAAAAGAAATAGGTCAACAGTAAAAAGCCAGAAAAGAAAAAGGAAAAAAAATATATGTAATTGAAAGAAAACTTTTTTTAAAAAAAAAGTGGACCTTCTTTTTAGTAGAAGTTTAAAACAGAAGGAAGTGCTAAAAATTTTACAGGTGATTATAGTCATGGAATTTCACTGTTTATGTTGATTTTTACACAGGATATACTCAAGGTCTGCAGTGGTCATGCCATTTAGAAGCATAACGTAGAAAAGACGGATTAATACTTGATTGTGTTACACATTTTTGTATTTGCTTTCCTGCAGAGGCTTTAAGCCAAGATTTTAAAAAAATTAATGGAATACTTCAGCTTATAGGTGAAAGTGTTGTGATAGGCAAAGCATAGGTGAGTACACAGAAAGGCAGAATAACATATACAGTAGGAACAGTGTTAACAGGACTACAATTTTTCTACTCTTGAAGACATGGATTACTGTTTTTCAACAGGGGCAAGTACTGCTCATTAAACTTGTGCATAGCTTGGATTTTAACCAAGCATTAAACTTGATTTTCAGCTGAAAGACTAGTAATTTCCTTTGAGTATCAAGCTAATTTGGAGGGCAGGGGAAACATTACTTTGACTTGCCAGCCAAGAAACTGCTTTCTGGGGCATCCAAAAAGATTTTCACAGCAGGAGTTTGTACCAAATTAACCAGGGTGTTTCTGTTTCCTGAAGCTGTTGATAAATCAGCAGTGAGTCCTGGATTACTCCAGTGATGGTATTACGGAGCTGGATCAGATTGTTCCCTTCATATTTATTTTTATTTTCAGCAAAGATAAACGCAGTTATGAGGAGCATGAGACTAACAGTTGGGAACTGAGTTTGTCTGTTGGAACTGGAAGGCAGATGTGGTGCAGGCAGCAGATCCTCACCCTGGTCTTGGAGGGACGATGCTCCGCAGGGCTGCCAAGCTGTTGAGAGCCCAGTGAGACGATCGTCACCAGCATCAAAGCACAACGGTGTTAATGCAGAGCGAGCGCTGCATGTGCTTGTGGGTTTATGGAAGTTGCAAGTATCATGCAGGCCAACAAGCATTTATTTTTAAGAGCCTGTTGAGGTGACTCGCATGCAGATGTTCTCCACCTCTCACGCTGTGCTCAGTATGGTCACTCCTTTTTCTCTCGGGGCAGGTGAGCTCTGGAGTGCACGTCTGTAACACTTGTTATGCATAAGATTTCAGAAACAATGAAAAGCTGTATTGAAAATAAATTAACCTCATGGAGGGAATTGTAAAGAATTCCTTTTCCAAGACGCCTTTGAAGTTGATGGCTACCTTAGCATGGAACGTTTAGATGGCTTGTCATTTTTAATAAGGAAAAGTGTTGAAATAAGCATTATTTTCTTCCTATGAATGTTAAAACAGAAAAAGTAAAATGGAGCCAATCTCTCAGCTGAAAATCTTTCCTGGCTGATGACAGGTTATGTTTTTAAGGCCAGTTTTGTATAGCTCTCATGTCATTTTCTTCCTGGCATTTGCGCAGTAGTGTCTACAAGGAGCAGAAAGACTTTAAGGGGAAGAGTTAAAGCTTGCAGTCTTGATCCACAGAAGCCTGCAAAGGAAATGTTTGGGCACCCCTTATGCTGGTATTAAAGCTTTAAGCAAAGGGAGACCATCAGAACCTTCAAAAGCTAGTATTGCTAGTACAGGAGCTCTCCTGTACTAGTATATAGTGAGATGGTTGGGCTACTGCTGTGTGCTCCACCTGTGGAGCAAGCTTATGGATCGTCATCGTCTAGTTGAAAACCCCTTCTTGTTGACAACCAGTTCAAAATTGTTTAGTTTCTGTCTTTCTGAAGTTTCAGGTCTTGGCTCGGAAACTTATATACACAGTTCTAGCATGTGAAGATAAAAATATTTCCCAATAGCACTTTATGTAACACCGTTATTCCCACAGCTATTTCTACTGCTGCTGCTTTGCCACCACTGGTACAAGGTTTGTTTGAGAACATTTCATAATTACAGCATGGATTATTTTAGCCTTTTGTATTAATCATCCCCCTGTG